AAGACAACTTTCCAAAGTTTTAGTACAGATAATTACACCTTACCTATCAACACAAATGCATGGCAGAGAGTAAGGCATCATTGACAGCCCAGAATATCTTCTCTTTTTGAGTATGTGGTGGCCATTCACAGGGTGAGCAGCATAGACTGGGGGGAGAGAGCCAGATACCCCATGGTGTAAAGGAAGAAAATATTTAAATTATTCTCTCTCACATTTTAGAACATTATTTAACTGTCCTTTTTGTCATGAGTTAAAAACATGTCATCTATCAATAAAATTGCTCTGATACATAGTTCATGCATAATTATTTGTGTGTTACTAGTCCATGCACAAACACTGTTTTACATCCACCGAGCAGTGACACTGAGGTCGCGGGTCTATACTGGTAGTGACTGTCATTTGTTCATTTGTTCTGGCAGGTAACACACATGTGCCACTTTGCTAGTGCCAGCTTTTGGAGAAACGGCAGCAACTATTAAATGAAGTGAGCGATTTGTCCTTTATAAACTCGCACGTATCCGGAGGCTTACCTCAGTGTCCTACTTCAGTCATGGACTTCCGAGTCTGAGCCAATAAAACAAACCATCAGCGTTTCCGCCTTGTCATACACATTCACGTTTATGAGCTACTGTGATTAGAAGTGTCCTTGGAAATGTGATGGAACACGCTTTCGTCTGAGGCATCTGAGTGATTGTGGTGCTCTTCCATTTTTTCTTCTCATACACTTGGAGTCTTCTAAGCTGTGTATTCAGCTAATTTCATAAAGTAATGATGGCAATTTCATAAAGGACAAATAGTGTGAGATAATACTTGCGACATTATGTAGTGAATTTTTATAAAGTGTTATGATTTCGGTGATATCCTGATAAAAACTTGAAGGGAAGTATCTAATATTGAAAACCTAAATACGTTTTCTGGCATGGGAGGCTGCCTGTACACTAAGGGAAGTCTCAATGAAAGGAGCACTGTGTGATTATTCTTGTCTTTAATTTCAGAGCATTATGGGAACACAAACACTTTGGCTACGTATTATGTGACTATTCTGATGTACGTCCATGGATGTCATATACTGGATAAATGCTGTTCTTGTTCTGATCCTTGAGAGATGGACTTTAGCGATTCTCTCATAAGATGAAGAGAGTGTAAGTTTGATATCTCTGGATGGGAAATTAACCAAGAGAGGGTCCTTTGAGGAAATACCACTAAAAGGACTTGTGGTAGGTGAACTCATGCCTCCCCCCAGAATACATCCTAAATTTCCAGTAATTGGGAATATGTTAGATCTTACAGAAAAGAGAAATGAGATTGCAAATGAAA